CTTAATCCTCCCAATTGGTCTGCTTGAGGAACTGAGACTCATAAATTAAGTAACTTTCCCGAAGTCACATGAGGAAAGATGTCATTCCCATCCTTCTCACCATCCTATCTGCTCCAGATACCCACTTTTTCCCCATGTACCTATTTTAATTCCACTGGTGTCCCCCTTAAACACCCAGAACTAGTTCCAGTGCTCTCTTGTGAGGCTTATCAGCTGAAAGAGCAAAGAACCGGTGCCCTCCCTTCCTTGAGACACTGAAGCCCCTCTCGTTGTATCAAATTTTTGGCAGCAGTATTATAAATAGAGACCCTTTGAGGTCATTGTCATTCTATAAAGCCACAGTTGGGTTTTTTTCCCCCTTATGCTGCTGTAAAGGCCATTTATTCCCCTTTTTTTGAGTGCAGCTGAGCACAAGCATTGGACTACATATTCTTACCTGTTTGAGTCAACTCAACTTCCTGAGGGAAACTGCAGCTAGTCTGGCCATGGGCTCCTGCCGCGGGCTGGCTATAGGCCAGACTTTGGCAGTGACGCCAGAGTGGCCAGACTTCTGTGGAATTCAGCATCTCAGGCGGTTCTTGGTGACTGGAGACAGATCCCATGGTAGCCAAACCCCACGGGAATAGCCCTCAGCCTCAACAGATGGATGGCTTGTGGGTGGAGCTAGAGAGTCTCAGCCTAGCAAAGGAGAGTCCTAGGGGACTCTTCCCCTACCCCTCATAGTCCCTGGGAAGTCTTCAGTCCACAACCGCTGTGGAGCCAGGAAAGGGTGAAGCTCCCTAGGCGCCAGACAAGAGTGGCCAAGGCATATTCCCAGGCTCCAGCTCAAAGGACTGCCTCTGGGAGCTCTTCCTCTGAAGCTTTTGGAAGGGAAATTTTGGGCTCAGTTCATCCATGTCTTATTTATATATTTCTGAGGCTGAGGAGATCCAGGGCCAGCCTTCATTTGTATGATTACCCCTGTCTACTCATCCAATGAGTATCTGGAGTTCTACCATTCAAGCTTAATCTATGGGATTTTAAAGGGTCCTCCCTGCCCCCCGCCGGAATCATAAATTGTCAGGATAGAAGGAACCATAGTGTTCACCTAATCTAGCTCATATTTAGTGAAGGAATATTCTCTACAATATCTTTGTTCTAATTCTCTAGGCTCTGCATGAACATACCCATCTCCCAAGATAGCCTCTTCCACTGATTTTACTATAGAAAGTTCTTCCCATAACTAAAATTCTACCTTTCTGGAGCTTTTGCCCATTGCCCCTGGTTCTGCTCTCTTGTTATATGGTCTTCCATAACCCTATCTAAAAATAACAATTCTCCTGGAGGAGAACATCTTAAGCTGTTCCTGACCAATGTCTGAGGTGATTGGCAGCCATCAGTGGTATGGGGTAAGGCCCCAGGAAAGGAGACTGGCAAGAGCCAGTCTAATGACTCCACAAACTATATGAACTTTACTGTCTTTCATCTGAGTATCCTTCTCAGGCAATAAGAAACCATAACACTGGTAGCTTGTCAGGGAGACCAGAGGAGGCTTTACTATCACAACTAAATAAAGTTCTCTGAAGCCTAGGAATAGAGCATTGCAGGGGGTATTCCATCATGGGAGTAAGACTTGGGTAACAACAGAGTTTCAGAGGAAATTCCTCATCAATATCACTATCATCTGTTGCATTTTACTTAGCACCTACTGGGGCCAGATGCTTATAGATATCTAGATTAGATGAATAGATAGATGATAGATGATAGATAGATGATAGATAGATAGATAGATAGATAGATAGATAGATAGATAGATAGATAATCTCACTTAACATCACAGAAACCTTGTGAAAAGAGGTGGGTTCAGAGGGGTGAAATAACTTGCCAAGGTCACAAAGCTAGCAAATGGCAGATCTAGATTGAATCCAAGGTCTTCCCAGCCCAAAGGCCCAAATTCCTCAGTCACTCCGCTGCCCAATCTTAAAGACTTGCTGCTGGACACCTAGGCAGCAATGTATGTGTATGTGTGTTGGGGATGAGGTTGATGTCCATGCCCAGTCTTAGCATGTCAGAAGCCCAGGTAGAAAGGCCACCCTGTTACCTGTGCTCCCATTATCAAACACTATATTCTGGCCCCAGACTTCACTAGTTGGCAGCCAGGTCAAGAGAAAGAAGAGATCATTGTGGGAAAGAACTCTTGGGCCTAAAGTGCCCCTGGGTTAGGCAGTCTTGATGGAAGCAATTTCTGCTTCTTTGAGGCTTGTTTTAACTTTACCTTCTGCATCTGATACACATGTACATGTAGCAGGCCTCAAATTTAATTCCCTAACCTGAGCATTTTCAGAGCTGCTCCCTGGAGTTGATACCAAATACAATATGGTATCATATTACATATACAAAACTTTTATGATTTAACAACATTTCTCTCCTAAAGACTTATACTCTAGTCCTTTTCGGATTTTCACCATTATTATACTACATGTTCATTTATTTAACAAGCATTTATTAAGGACCTCTTATATACTCAGGCCTGTGCTTGAGGGTGTTGGTAAAATGTCGATAGTCTTGAATTTTCCAAAATATTCCTAATTCCAACTGTTTTAACTTTTTAAATAAATAGTTCCTGTACAGGCCATATACCCCCATTTTTCTCTGAGAACAAGGGACATTGCATTTGTCAGGAATTAGGGGAAGATGAAGACACGTAGTCTGTGCCCTGAAGGATCTGTCAGTCTTGTTGGGAGCATCATCCCAGTCTTTAGGATCATAACACAGCACTACGAAGACCCTCTTCAGTAGTATGAGTCTTCTAAGTGCTGTTTCAGGATTTCAGAGAAGAGATCACAGTCAAAAGGGGCAGTCAGAAGGGTCTATTTCATGGATGAGGTAGAAAGTGACTTAGACGTCTAGGATGTATTGGATGGGATTGGTAAAACAGGTGGAAAGGTATTCCTGGAGGGCAACATGATGTGGCCTAGCCTTGAGAATAAAGAGTGAGGGGTTGTGCCTGGAGGGAGCAGGTGCGTTTAGGACACGAGGGAGAGAAAAGGCTAGGAAGGTCATTTCCAACCATGCTGAAGCAAGTTTTAGATGTCAGCCTGAGGGATATGGTTGTCATCCTGTTGGCAATGGGAAGAAAATGTGAGCATCCGGTTGCCTAGCCTCACAGCCCTGCTGCATCAACCTCTACTGTGTAACTCTGGGCAAATTACCTGACTTAGTTGGGCCTCAGTTTCTTTGTCTAAAGATTAGGGGTGTTGATAATAATAGCATCTACCTCATAGAGGTCCTTTGAGGTTTGTGATACTTTATCAAAATGTCCATCATGTTACCTGTCACATATGTAGTGTTAGCTATAAGTTTTTAGGGCAGTAAAGTGACACAATTAGGGAAGGAGTGTAGGAGGACACTAGGTAGGCACAGAGAGGATAGATTAGAGAGAGAGGAGACTAAAGCATGAGGAAACTATTCTGGTAATGGTATAGTAGTAATAGTAGTAGTAGTAATCTAGTAGTCTAAGCAAGATACAGAACAGGCTTGACCAGCAATGGTCAGGAGAAGGTGGTGAATCTTAGATGTTGAGAGGGAAAAACTGACGGGTCTTGCTGCTGACTGGATGGTGTGGTCTCTAGCTGGTGTGTTGAGTGTGGGTATTTCAGTGTCAGAGCTCAGACCAAGCACCGTAACATTGCTTGGAAGAAGGAGAGGGGAAGTATTGGTGTGCTTGCTGTGATCTGTGAGAGGGTGGGGACTGTAGATAGAACAGCACCCTCTGATGTGGTGGCACCAAGGACATTTCAAAGGTCCCCTGCCTCCTACTGCCCTAATTCCTTTTAGTAGGATGGGTTTAGGCAATATTGTTAAAGATCATGACATCGGAGAGGGTAACACTTCAGCTCCCTTTGAGTGGAGCTGAAAAAAGGCCTTCGAAGGCAGGAGAGGAGACTGATGGTGAGAATGGAAGGGCCGTAGGAAATGGGGAACAGGAGAAACAGTTTTCATGTGGGAGTAGGGCTGCGGGGCACGTCACGAGGGAGAGAAGCACTGAAAGAGGAAGTGGGAGAATGCTAAAGACATGCTCAGCCCATTCACAGCCTTGCCCCTGCAATTCCCTCTGTGACATCACCATTGGCACCCTTGGCACCTCTTAGGCTTTATAGAGCATTTCCCTTGTACTGAATTTAAGCTCCAAATGCTCACTGCCTTTAATTCCAATGTTAGACAAACTGAAGTCACATGCATCTTCGATCCTGTTAGGGCATAATCAGAATTATAGCTGGGAGGAGAGGAAGCATGGGAGTGGAGCCATGTTGTTGAATAAAATGTAATTATGCTATTTGAGAAGAAAAACAGCTTGGCCTTGAGTACTTTTACAAGCATTAACATCTTACTCTTTCCCTCTGGGTAAGGGGGGTTTGGGGGAAACAGATGACTGCCCCCTCCTTCAAGTCCTTCTCTGTGGGAGTTCCAGCATAGCCCAAAGAGTGGATCTGACTCCAGAGCCAGCCCCAGAGCCGATCCAACCCCAGAGTTAACTCTGCAAGAGAAGTGAGGCAAGTCTGGGCTCATCACCTGGTCCAGGCCCCTGGAGTCCCCTAAAGCCCAATCCACTCTCTGGAGTTTGGTGTTGATCCTCCCTTTCCTTCAGGAAGCCAGGCCTGTGAGTACAACGAGGACCTGGACAGCAGGTAGCCACCAGAGAAGAAACCAGGTGCTGTTAGAAGACTCAAAGCTTCTAGACAGAATAAGTCTAAGAGGGAGGGAAATGAAAAGAGAGATTAGGGGATCTCAGACACTGCCTGTCAGGGTGGGACTAAGCCCCAGACTGCCTAGACCTGTGCCCCAGCAACACTCCAGAGGTTGAGAACCCCTTTGAGGTGTTTCTGGAACAGCAGAAGCCTCTAGGCCAAATCCCATGGTCCCCATCAGATCCCACTGCATTCATGCCACAGAGCCACAGGGTTTCTCTTTGGAGTCTGTTCGGCATTTTGTTTTTATCTCTTTTGCATTTTGTCTTCCAGAGTGGAACACTTAAGGATCCGGACTCGAGCAAGACCCCACCTCAGCGGCCAGCCCCCCAAGGTTGTTTACAGTATATTCTCGACTGTAATGGCATTGCAGTAGGGCCAAAACAAGTCCAAGCTTCTTAAAGTGATTGGTAGTTCATTTTTCAAAGCAGAAATTTTAAGCCAAAAACAAACAAGGGAAGAAAGGAAAGCAGGGAGGGGAGCAACAGACCCTCCCATTGGTGCCGTTTCTGCGTTCTTTCAGTGCTGACTGGACTGTGTTTTCCTCTGCAGTGTCAGCTCCTCCGTCTGGTTGTTTACCTGTTCCTGTTCGTGCTTGTAATGCTCACTTATGTTTCTCTGTATAATTGTGTTTCCAGGGCTGTTTGTCAACAGTGTACAAAGAATTGTGCCTCTCCCAAGTCCAGTGTGACTCTATCTTCTGGGTGGTTTGATATTATTTTTTAAAAGCATTACATAATGTGGGGTGAAATAGGACTGGGGGGATGGACAGGGGAGAAACAAAGACCACAAAATTAAAACCCAACTCCTCTCCTTCTCCGCCCCCCAGGCTCAGTTTAAAGCGCCCCCCACCCCCTGCTTACCTCCATGAGTGTGCTTGGGATCGCCAATGAATTGTGCTTTTTGCTTCCTTTCTGCATGACTAGGGTAAATAGATAGAAGTTTAAGAGATTTTCAAGGTCTAATTTCCATAGCTTCATCCGTTGAATCTGAAGGCATCCACCTTTTTCTCCATTTGCTAAAATTTGGTGCAGTTTGAGTTTATGTGAATAGGCTGACTGTGCCTGTAGAGCTCTTGTGTTTTTAGTGATGACATGAAATACAAAGAACAAGCTATTTCCAGGAATGTGTTCTGTATTTTACATCCCAGTGTACCTTCTTTTTTATTATTAACTAATTAGCTATGAGATTAGACAAAAAAAAAAAAAAAAAAAAAAACGGGGCCGCTGATGTGCAATATCAAAGTGAACTTGTGAGTATTTTCTGTGCGTTGATCTCAGTCCCCCTAAGTTGTTTCTTCTTTGTTGCTGTTTCTGAATTGGCCATATTATGCGCTTCTGTGGAACTGAGGCTGCTTTGTATTCCCCAAAGCCTGACCTATGTACAGAGATGATACTTTAGCAATTGTGGACATAGGATGCAGGAAACTACTGAAAGTCTGAGAAGGAGTCGACCATTCTGCTCTTGGCCTCTCCCTAGGCAATCATGAGACCAAATCAGAAGTGTCCCATTTCACAGAGGGGGTACACTGCCTACAGAACTCTGAGGTGGACTCCTGCTTTCATTTTCAGCTGTAACAAGAACCCTCCAGAGGCCAGAGAATGAGGAGTGTTATCTTTGCTGGGAAGAACGGTCTCTGATTTTAGCTAGTGTGTGTTTGGGGCAAAGGCTCCACAGCCATGGCTCTGGAAGAAACCTCCCCAGTTTGTCCTCTTTCCTCTGACATGCCGTTCCTGGGCAGTGATGAGGCAGTTAATTAAAGCAGGCCTCGGCTTCAGCGCCTCATCTTGCCTTCTCCTAGCCAGGTTGGGATGGGCGCTGAGCGGTCTTCTCTAGCACTGTGGTCCGTGGGAGTTCATGCCAGCAGTTTGCATTTTAAAGAAGTGCTTCTAGCTCTACTGTTACATTCCTCTCACTTCCATACTGATACGTTACCGTTCTGGATTCCAGGTCTGAGGAATAGTGTTGATAGTATGATGTACGTGTCAAGGGCACGTGCCCTAGTTTCTCCTTTGGTTGCTGGCAAATTCTGAGGCTACAGGAAAATGCACTGAGTGTGAGTGTTCTCATCTGTGATCCCTCCCTTAGATGGTGATGCTGGTCAATCTGTTGTAAATATATACATATATGCATTTATGCACTTCCAGGTGGGTTGCATAAGAATCAGGTTCTTAAATACCTCCCAATCTGATGAAATGGTAGAAAGGAATAAAGCAACATTTCCCAGAATGGAGGAATACATTTTTATTTTTATTTTTACTTTTGTCCAAGTGGTGAGCTGATGGTGGTGTTGCTTCTCTGCATGTTATCAGTGTGAACATCCAGGTGCTTTTCATGTGACATTTGTGAGCCACAAATACAAAGTTGCCATTTGAATTCAGTCAGGCTCCAGGGTGGTGTTAGCCAAAGTTTCTCAGGTGGGGGAGAAACTGATTAGGGCTCCTACTGCCAAATGCAAGCAGGCAGTGTAACCTGACTATCATGTGCCCTCAGGCAGCATGCTAAGGGACAACTCTGTGGCCTGGGGGACATCCATGTCACAGTATAGGATTGCTGTTCAGGTGTTTTGTACCCATTTCTTTTCTGATGTTGTCCCCTTTTTTTGTACCGATCCAGCTGGGAGAACCTCAGCCAATGCTGGAAGTGTGATTTAAGTACCTCTCTTTTGTGACTCTCTTGTACAGCTTAATGTGCAATAAAGGAAAAGTTATATCTGTCTTCAGTGTTAAGTTGTAAAGTTTCTGGCTATTCAAGCATCTCTGTACAAGTGGGAAAGGTTCCTGGTATAAGAGGCTGAGCCATCAACCTGCTGTACTTTACAAGAAAAGGCTGATACAGATGAAGCCAAACTTTGGAAGAGGCAAAAACTGGCTAACGTGAAATATCCTGATCTGTCGTCTTCATCTTCACTGGTTATCTGATTTGAACTTGGAACTTCAAGTTTTCAATCCAAAATTCCATTTGTGTATTTATTTAGGTAAAACTAACTCTGGTATTCATTGGTAATTGATACAGTGGAGTCCATGCCATGTAGTAGGGAGATGGGCTGATAATCATGGGTGCACAGTGGTGTAGATGGATAATTCTGCCTCTCCAGAGGGTATAAGTACTCTGGTGTTTCTAGGATCCTAAGTTACAACACAACTCTTAGCTGCTCTTGAGTTTCTATAAGCCTACTCCTTCCAGCCAGCCATGAATGTGGACGCCGGGAGTGAGACTTGAGAAACTGGATCTCTCAGGCCAATTATGCATCATTCCAACAGTCAGTATGCACTGATGAGGACATCTATTAAGTCAAAAGATGACTAAGGAACCCCCACCCCTTAGCAAAATCTGAGCAATCAGGTATCACACTTACTGCCTGACAAGCCCCAGAGGAAGGATGGCCTTTTCCCCCTCCAGGCCACCAGATGGTTTTCTGCCTCATGCTGAGAGAATGGTATCCTGGTCTTTTTGGGGGTGGGGGTGGAGGTGGGAGGCTGCTTCTTTGTGGGATGGTGCCCACATCCCCAGGGGAGAATAGGGCTTGGATTTCTGGAGAATTTCACCACACACACTGGGGAGGGAGTGGAGACCCCTGAGGATGGTACTAAGAGGCAAAAGAGCACATGGATACAGAAGATTCCCCCTAGTCATCTGCTTGAGTTAATGTTAAAATGAAGCTCTGGTGGGGCGGGGCATGGCAATCAGACACGTGCAGGTCAGGAGCTGGACAAGGCCCAGTTCTGTAAAAACAATGCAAATCTGTGATCATTAATGACTATAAAGCACACAATACTTTTTGAAGAACTTTCTTGTCCATTAACATCTTTGAAACACTACCTTCTTGAAAGACAACTAAGACTAGGGATTACTTTTTCATAGTTTTATGGTTGTAAACACCAAGGCCCAGAGAAGTTTGCAGACTTGCTCAGGGAGTCACTGATAGACTGTGTCTTGACTTTCCAATTCCCAGACCTATGCTCTGTACTGCCTTGTACTGCATCTACAGTGTGGAACTTGAGACCTCCTAGTAAACCGTGGGGCACGTTGCCCTCTGCCTGAGGAACCGCTGGGGAAGAGGGGTGGGGTCCCTCCGGTCTGGGGGCCTTCTGTGAAAGAGCTTGCTTCTGATCAGGGCCCCTCATCCCATGCTTTCTTCCTTGTCCTCCTGACACCTGCTGTGCCTGAGGGGCTCTGTCTCTGAGGAAGTGCAAGTAGCGGCAGATGTATGAGGGAAACCAGGGGCTGGCTCTGGAGCCCCACAGAGCCTCGGGTGGCTTCTTGTAATAGAGCTTATCCTTTTGGTGATTAACTAACCCCATCCTTTAAGACGTAGATTCTAATAAGAAAACCCTTTGATACGGTTAAATTATGAAGTTTTTCTTGTACTGAACCTAGGGGGCCCTGGGCAACCCCAAGGAATGCAACCCCCAGGCAAGGTGATGCCTCCACGCCGGCCTCCCCCTGGACCATCACTGCCACCTTCCTCCTCTTCCTCCTCCTCCTCTTCCTCCACCACCCACGGAGATGCACCCTCCAGCAGCAGCTCCCTGGCAGAGGCCCAGCCACCCCCGGCTGCTCCACCACAGAAGCCCCAGCCTCACCCACAGCTCAAGTAAGAGACAACTCAGCAGCTCCTTCCCCTCCCCTCTTCCTGCCCCTCCTCACAGGCCGTAGGCTCCAGAGCTGCTAGAAAGCACCTTCAATCAGGCTTTCTTCTATAGATATTTTTGTGGGACTTTTTTGGGGTTTTGGTTTTGGGTTATTTATTTATTTATTTGTTTATTTTTGGCTGGGGGCATGGTTGGGAGTTGATTGGGGAGGGTAGAAAAGAAGGAAGTGAAAGTCTAAGGTCTAGCTAGAAGCTCAAACCCTCCCCTTTCTTCCTGGGGAATGCCAATAAGGCAGAGTCACTGCCCCTTTCCTATTCTTATATTAGCTTAGGGTTTTGGTTTTTTTTTTTAATCCTGTCTCCCACTCTTTTTTCCATTCCTTTTCTCTGTGTGTGTATGTGTATTTCTCCCTCTCAAAATTAAAAAAAAAAAAAATCCTCTTTCCTGCCTTTGACTCACAGTTAGGGTGTGCAATCAGCAAGGCTGCTCAGAAGGAAAAAAGGGAAGTAGTTAAATCCATTTCAACTTTTTACCTTCAGCTTTGTCAGAAGGAGGTCGGTTTCTGGTGTGGTCAACAGAGGAGGGTCCAGATAGATACCCTGAGGAACTCCATCTTCTTGGGCTTCCTCACTCCCTAGAAGCCCCCATCACACTGTCCTGCTTCAGAGGAAGAACTGAGGGCCCCTGGAAAACAGTAAAGCTGTACTTGGGATGCACCTGGGTGTGGATGGTAGTCAGTTCTACCCTCTCCTCTAGAACTAGAGATGCCTCTTTGCACCGTCCCCAAACAGACCTCTGTCATCACTGTCAGCAGAGACAGCTGTAGCCTTGCAGGGATGGGAGGGACCCATCAGTGCTTTCAGAGTGAGGTGATGGGAATCTTCAGGGAGGGAGAAAAGGAGCCACTTAGACATGGTCTAGTCATTGCATAGATGAGTAAACTGCTCAGAGAGATTTGATTAATTTTCTTTCTCAAAACTACTCTGCTAGTTAGTGGCAGAGCCAGGATTCAGGCTCAGGTGGTCCAGATGACCACTTTCTCTGGGTCTTTCAACCCTTGGGACTGGAGGGGCATCACCCACTCCTGCTCCCCAGCTCTGGCCAGTGGCACATTTCACATCTCACCTGACCCATAACTTCCCCTCAATCCAATTGTTTTCTGCATGCTGACTTTTAAAATCTCTCCTGCCTTCTCATTAGCCACCTCTGGCCCCAGTCTGAGAGCAGATCTTTGGGTTGCCATTGCCTTTGGGCTGAAGATTTTGAATAGAGCCATCATCTGACAACAAGCAGGAGGCTTATACCCAGTGCCCCTGGCTGTGCATGCAGAGGGGGTCCTCCCTCCCAAAGGCCAGCATGTTGGGGCCCATCGCCAACCCTAATGGAAGGCAGGGCATCTGTTCAAAGTCATCAACTGCAGGAGATAAACTGCTCACACTCCTGTAGAATGGAATTTTGGGGGCTGCACCCTGAATGTAGGGAAGGGCTGGGAGCCCTAAGACATCAGGAGAAAAGTTCTACAGCCAGAAACCATCAGGAAAGAGACACAGTGAAAGTCAAGGAGATATGGCAAACCACTGGATACGCCAGACCTCATATTCTCTTCTCAAGGGCTGGGCTTGGCCTCCCCTTGACCTTCTTGCCTTCACAGTTTTTCTCTCTGAATCCCTAGTCTCTCAGGGGAAAAATTGGTTCCTAGAATGTATGTGATTTGGGTTTTTAATTAGAAAACTGCCTAATGTCCTTGTGTGCACCAGATACGTATCTCTTCTGCCCCTGGATACCCTGAACTGCATAAACCTCATATTAGGACTCCTCTGGGGTAGGCTACAAAGAATGGTCATGTCCATTTTAAGAGCAGGTAACTTGAGGCCTTGGTTTATTCCAAGTTTATTTGGAATCAGAGGAAAAAAAGCCTAGTACAAAGACCTGAAAAGGCCTGGAGGGCATTTTACCAAACACCTGCACATCACAAATGAGAAACCAAGTCCCAGAGAAGCACAAGAATGAGTGAAGGGCAGATCCAAGACTTTGACCCAGGTCTTCTGATGCTGGCTTTACCACTTGACAGTTGATGGAAAAGAGAGTGCAAAGAGTCTATGGTCCCCTCGTTGCTATATTTCATCAGAAGGGAAGGGTGTGAGATTCTTAGATTAGTACTTACCAAGTTGGGACCTCTGAAATGTAGCCTGTGGGCCCTTTAGCATTAAGTATAAGAAACAGCCTTTGAGTCACTCCTCCCTCTTTCCCTTTTCTCTTTTTTCCCCCTTCTCCCTCTTTTCCTTCTCTTTTCCCCCTTCTCCCTCTCTCCCACACTGCCCCCATCCTTTCCTGTTTTAGCAGCATTGAAGGAGGATAAATAGCACAGGGGCCTCCCCGGGTCCTGGCAGTACTCCACTGCTGGCTTTCTCCTCCATGACCCTGGTTTCCCTGGGGTGGGAGTGGGGGTTTGGTTGTGTATCCTCATGTCACCGTCTTTCCCTGCCTCACTGGGAACACCCCCTCTCACGTTCTCTCTGGTTTTTATCTTCAAGCAAGTCGCAGTCCCTGACAAATGCCTTCAGCTTCTCTGAGTCCTCCTTCTTCCAGTCTTCAGCCAATGAGGATGAAGCCAAAGCGGAGACCATCCGGAGCTTGAGGAAGTCCTTTGCCAGCCTCTTTTCAGATTAGCTCTCCAGATACACGGGGGCACCTAGCCCAACCGGGAAAGGCATCTGAGACATTTGCCAATAGTCAGCCACGCTTGGTGATGTCCCATGACCTTGATGTGTGTGGTCCCTTCCTCTGCTCCGTTGTGCTAAGTGATATTGTGCAGCTCAGAAAAGACCATGTGAAAGTCTCAGGGCAGGCGCCTAACCAGCAAGGGGCACCTGACAGAGAGAATAGAGCTGCTTTCCCGTAGTCCTGAGAGTTTCCTCTGAGGTCATTGTTTGCTGTGAGTGTAGTGGCCTTATTGTGACAGTGTCCTCATGTCTTATTCTTCTTCACGAAACCAGGATTCCCTTCACTGAGGACTCTTGGTAGCTTAACCTAGCTCAGAAGCAGTGCTAAGCATGCCTCCGCTTTAGTCAGTGCTGCCTGTTTGGGGAGCACATACTTACCCAAAAATGCTCTTGGCTCTAAGTGTTAGGAACCTACCCACACTTGGATCCCTTGTCATATCTGTTTACCTGTTTAAAACACACCTGCCCAACACAAGAGATTCCTCAACTGCTATCATGGTAAAGTACCTTTAGTCTGTTGATACTGGAGAGAACAAGGATCTGCAGTCCCCCCCACCCCACCTTTTCTGTCCTCTGGAGAGCAGTTCTTATGTGCGTGCTGCAGTGATCTCGAGCTCCGAAGCTGCACTGTAGGGAATGCATGCCACTGTAACAGCAGTATACCAAGTTTTGTGTTCATCTCCAAATAAATGTTAAGACCTTTGGTGTAATAAAAGCAGCAGCATTAACCAGCATTTGATTCAGCCATGAGGTCTCCCCTAGGCCACCCTTTTGGCTGAGAGAGTATATGTGAGGCATATGTATGTGCTTGCAAGTGTAGGGAAGGGAAATGTCTAGGAGAATGAAGCTGTTTGTGCCAGTATGCTTGTGAATGTATTTATGTGTGAGTGGCTATTTGCAAGTGGTTGAGAGTATGGCCATCCTTTAGATGTCACTTATGCTGGGCCTCCTGACATCTGGTGAATGTCCCTGCAAGACAACTGAAGTTCCTTTGGTTACTAGCATTTCTACCGATTTTACTGAATTTGTAGCCTTTCTAGTAAGCATAGCACCCTTGTCCTATGGCAGCCAAGTTAGATCTACTTGTCTGGTCCATCAAGCTCCTCAGCTAAAGCCACATGGGGGTGCCAATGAGGCTGGACCGACCCGCTCTGATGAGTGGTGTCCCACAAGCCTGGCCTCAGGCATCCTAAAGAGGTCTGCGATTGAGAGTGGGCTCGGAAGGACTTCACTCTGGCTTCTTCACAGCTCACACAAGAGTAGGTTACCAAAGACCACGAGTCCTGTGAAGATAAGCACCACATCTGCACTAATAAATGGAAACCAGTGTATTAACGTTATATCTATATAATTTCCCACACATACCCATCCTAACTCAACAAAATAACACTCAGCCAAATGCCACTATCTTGCTAACCCTCCTCACAAGCAATAGATGCTGAGAGGCCAGAGTGTGAAGTTCTCTGGCACCAGGGTCTCCTTTCTAACTCAGCCCATGATTTCAGGGTTCAAGGATCCAGAACTCTACCTTCTTCTACACTTAAAAAACAGGAAGTAGGACTTCCTTTGAGTGGCTCCAGGGGTGGAGGGGGTGGCAGCCTTTCCCTCAACAACACACATAGCTAGGGAACAAACTATTAAACCAAACAAAAAGGTGAGGGACAGGGAACTCCCTATGCTCCAGGGAATTGATCTTCAGGGTTCCTTCTATTTCCACCCAAGAGTCTGCCACTTGTGGTCACTTCTGCCCTCCCGATTCTAGAAATGTTTAGTAGAATGCATTCATTTCATCAAAAAGCATTTATTGAGCACTTACTATGAGCATAAACATTGTGATGGAGTCAAAAAATGTTTACTAACAGTTTCATAGTGCTTACCAAGTTTAGGCACCATTCTAAGCACTTAACATATACCAATTCATTTATTCCCTCCAAGCATCCTGTATTATAAGTACTAGTACTGTTTTATAAATGAAGAAATGGAGGCACATCAGGATTCAATAACTTGCTCAAATTCACCCAGCTAGCATGCAGTGGAGCTGGGGTTTGAGCCCAAGCAGTATAGCAGCATAACTCATGGCCTTGACAACTTTGCTATATTATTTTTTATTTAATCTAGCAAAGGAAACAAAATAATTTTATTAAATTGTACATAATGTAAAAGCAAAATAAGAGATATACACAAAAATTCTTCATACCCATATCTTCCTCCTTCCTTTACCTTCTCTCTATCCATTGGTCCCAGGAACGGAGCAGTGGGAGAAGGTCAGAGAACTTGTAGCAGTGTTGACCCCTTGTCCTAGAACCATGAGTAACATACACAATGTATCTTAATCTGATTGAATATAGTTCTGGTTCTTAAAAAATTGCTCATTCTTCCACATGTGATGTCAGACCAAAAACCACAAGTGGCTTATTTAGAAAATGAGTCAACCAGGAACTGCTAGAGTGACAAAAAGGGGAGGCATTTACCATAGGTCATGTAGCACCCTAGTCCAAAGGACACATGGATTCTACTCAACCCTTAGTAATGGGGTGGGGCCAGAGGTGGGGGAGTTCCATTTAGAAACACCCCCCGTGGTACATAATAAAGCTTGCCCCAGAGACTGGGAAATTTGCCATTCACATCAATCAATAAATATTTGATGAATATCATGATAAAAAAAATGATCTAAACCTGGGATCTCCCAGGGTTGGTGATAGTCCACTATAGATATTGAAACCTTCAGTCTGTAGGCTAGTTGTGACCACCCTGCAGCCCTCTAGCCCTACCCATATCTCTACACCGGATTAATAGAGATAGAACATCTCATCCCTGCCCCATGGAACTCCCCATCTCCTTGGGTCAAGATTAATTAATTCTGCTTATTTTTTTTTGTTCATAACTCTTTATTGTATACTTATTAAGCTCAATAAATTTTGTGGGAAGAATATAAAAATGAGTTAAGCAAAGATTCTGCCCTCATAAAGTTTACTGTCCAGTAGGGGAGGTAGCATATATACAAATATAAAGAAGAAAGTGGTCGGTGCTGTGAGACATATGCAGTCAAAATGTTAGTTTGGAAAAAAAAAAATTAAGCTTGATAGGTATTGGTAAGGATATGGGACACAGAATGCTTACATACTGCAAGTGGAAACGTATGTTGGTACTACCACTTTGGGGAACAACTTGGCAATATCTAATGCACAAACCCTATGACTCAGTAATTCCATTTCTAGACATCCTCTCTAGAGAATCTCTTTCACATGTACTCAAGAAGGCAAGTAAAAGAATATTAGTCGCAGCACTTTTGTGAAAAATGGAAACAACCAACTGTCTTAATGAGGGAATTAGAACATAAATTGTGGTTTACTCATAAATTGGAATACTATATAGAAGTTAAAGAAATAAACAAAAATCAGGGCACCTGGGTGGCTCAGTCGGTTAAGTGTATGCCTTCAGCTCAGGTCATGATCCCAGGGTCCTGGTATCAAGCCCCACGCCTGGCTCTCTGCTCAGCGGGGAGTCTACTTCTCCCTCTGCCCCTCCCCCTGCTCATGTGCTCTTCCTCTCCCTCTATCTCAAATAAATAAATAAAATCTTTTTTAAAAAAGAAATAAAAATATTTGAGGTATTTAGTTAAATTCAGATAAGATATGGAAGGAGAATGAATAAGATGAGTCAAAAAAAGAGTAAAAGCTGTAGGTGTTGTGGTAGTGGAACATACTTCTAGCTTGGCTGGTGAGAGAAGGGGGCAGCCTACTAGTGAGTTGTGAGCAGCCCACAAAATGAGGAGACATGCCTATTGGGGAAATAGGGTGAGCACACAGAATGCAGTCACTGAATTTTACAGCTGGAGGTTTCATCTAGTTCTGTCTTCTCATTTTACAGTTGAGAAAACTGAGGCCCCCGGCAACTTAAGGAGCTGGCCAAGGTCATGAAGTAAGTTAGTAATAACAGTAAATGAGTCTCAGTCCTCGGTGTCTGATGGGCCGTTCAAGACACTGTCCTTCAGGAGATAAATGAATGGGTTTCACTTCCAAGAGCCCTCCAAGGAGGGAGAGGCTTATGGAACATTTCAGAAGCCAGGAAAGAAATGGAAAGAGACAGTGTTGGGCTACAGGAAGAGCTGGAATCAAATCTGAGTTTAAATCTTGACTTTGCTAGTTATTAGCTAGTTGTCTTTGATTATAGTTTTTCTGTGTCTCAATCTTCTCATCTATGAAATGAGAACAATAGTACCTTGCTGAGGAGATTATTTTAAGAATTAAATGAGCTAAGCCTCTTCAGTAAGTGGTGTTGGGAAAACTGGACAGCTACCTGCAAAAGAATGAAACTACATCACTTTCTCACACCATACATAAAAATAAACTCAAAATGGATTAAAGGCTTAAACGTGAGATCTGAAACCATAAATTCTTACAAGAAAAAAGGCAGTAATTCTTTGACATCGGCTATTGAAATATTTTTCTAGATATGTCTCCTCTGTCAAGGGAAATGAAACAAAAGCAAAATTAAACAAATGGGACTACACCAAAATAAAAGGCTTCTACACAGCAAAGGAAACCATCAACAAAACAAAAAGGCAACCTACTGAATGGGAGAAGATATTTGCAAATGATATACCCCATAAGGGATTAATATCCAGAATATGTAAAGAACTTACACAACACACACACACACACACACACACAAATAATCCAATTAAAAACTGGGCAGAGGGGCGCCTGGGTGGCTCAGTTGGTTAAGCAACTGCCTTCGGCTCAGGTCATGATCCTGGAGTCCCTGGATCGAGTCCCGCATCGGGCTCCCTGCTTGGCAGGGAGTCTGATTCTCCCTCTGACCCTCCCCCCTCTCATGTGCTTGCTCTCTCTTATTCTCTCTCTCTCAAATAAATAAATAAAATCTTTTTAAAAATTAAAAAAAAAAACTGGGCAGAGGATCTGAATAAACATTTTTCCAAAGAAGACATGCAAATGGCCAAAACACATGAGGAGATGCTCAACATCACTAATCATCAAGGGATTGCAAATTAAAACACAATGAAATATCACTTTACACCTGTCAGGATTGCTAAAATCAAAAACACAAGAAATTATAAGCGTTGGCGAGGATCTGGAGAAAAGGGAACCCTCATGCACTATTTGTGGGAATGCAAACTGGTATAGCGATTGTGGAAAACAGTATAGAGGTTCCTCAAAAATTAAAAATAGAGATACCTCATGATCCAATAATTCCACTACTGGTTATTTACCCAAAGAATTAAAACATTAATTTGAAAAGATATACGCACCCCTATGTTTACGGCAGCAGTGTTTACAATAGCCAAGATAAGGAAACAACCCAAGCATCCATCGATAGATCAACAGATAAAGAAGATGGAAAAGATGCAGAAGATCAGATTGTCAGGTGCTTGGCTTGTCGCTAAGTCCTAGTGGTCTGTACCACTAAGCATCGCCTGTGCAGGTCTCTGTCCTCTGCCTCAGGCCACAGTGGCAACATATGAATAGAGGAAGAAAATTTCTTCTTGCCTCAGTTCTTGCTCTCCAGAATTCTCCTTCATGTCAGAAGTGCTTCTCTTGGATAATCCTGATCTCCAAAAGCTAGATCAACATTCAACTATTTTGAACAACAAGGAAGACAATCTGAGGATTAAGGAAACAATTTGCACAGTTGGAGGAAGAAAACATGGCAGATGTGAGGCTTATTTTGACAAACAGATCAAAGCACACCTACTTAAAGATCCAAACACTCTGCACTACAAGTAAGAAGGAACTCTGTAGAGGAAGGTCCAGTGGGAGAGAGCAGCCAAAACACAACAGAAGGGTGTACACAATATGCACAAGAAACACTTCTTGAAATTTTTGTTTCTTGAAATTGTTGCTGTTTTTTTTTCTCTTTTTTTCATTTCCCCCTCCTTTCTTTTCTGGACAAAATGATTAGATTAGATGGAGAAATTCACCCCAAAAGAAAGAACAGGAGGTAATACTCCCAGCCAGGGATTTAATCAATAGGGATATAAGTAAAATATCTGAATTAGAATTTATAAAAAACTATTATAAAGATACTAGCTGGGCTTGAAAAAAGCATAGAAGACACTAGAGAATCCCTTACTGTAGAAATAGGAGAACTAAAATCGAATCAGGCCAAAATTAAAATGCTATTACTAAGATGCAGACACAAATGGAGGCTTTAACAGTGAGGCTAAATGAGGTAGAAGAGAGTCAGTGATATAGAAGACAAAATGATGGAAAATAAGGAAGCTGAAAAGAAGAGATAAAGACAACTAATGGATCACGAAGGGAGACTTTGAGAACTCAGTGATTCCATAAAGTGAAATAATATCCAGATAATAGGGGTCCCAGAAGATGAAGAGCAGGAGAGAGGGACAGAAGGTTTATTTGAACAAATTCTTCTAATCTGGGGAAGGAAATATTCAAGTCCAGCAGGCACAGAGAACCACCCCGTCAAAATTAATAAAAATATGTCAACTCCTCTACACATATTAGTGAAACTTGCAAATTTCAAAGATAAAGAGAAATTCCTGAAAGCAGGTCAGGACAAGAGGTCCTTAACCTACAAGGGTAGAACATAAGGCTAGCAGCAATCCTGTCCACAGAGACCTGTCAGGCCAGAAAGGACTGGCATGATATATTCAACATGCTGAATGGATGGCTGAAAAATATGCAGCCAAGAATACTTTATCCAGCAAGGCTGTCATTCAGAAAGAAGGAGAAATAAAGAGTTTCCAGGACAAACAAAAACTAAAAGAATTTGTCAACACTAAACCAGCCCTGCAAGAAATATTAAAGGGGATGCTTTGAACAGAGAGAGAGCCCAAAAGGAACAAAGACCAGAAAGGAACAGCAACTTTACAAAGGTAATAAAATGGCACTAATTTCATATCTTTCATTAATTACCCTGAATGTAAATGGGCTAAATGCTCCAATCAAAAGACATAGGGTATCAGAATGGATAAAAAGACAAGACCCATTGATATGCTGCTTACAAGAGATGATTTTAGACCCAAAGTCACCTCCAGATTGAAAGTGAGGGGGTGGAGAACCATTTATCATTCTAATGGACACCAAAAGAAAGCTGGAGTAGCCTTCCTTATATCAGACAAACTCAATTTTAAACCGGAGACTGTAATAAAAGATGAAGAAGGGCACTATATCATAATAAAAGTGTCTATCCAACAACAAGATCTAACAATTGTAAATATGTATGCCTTTAACTTGGGAGCAGCCAAATATATAAGCCAATTAATAACAAAGTTAAAGAAACACATTGATACTATACACATTCTTCTCAAGTGCACATGGATCATTCTCCAGAATAGATCATATACTGGGTCACAAATCAGGTCTCAACCAGTACAAAAAGATTGAGATTATTCCATGCATATTTTCAGACCATGATGCTTTAAAACTTGAAGTCAACTACAAGAAAAAAATTGGAAGGACCACAAATACATGGAGGTTAAAGAGCATCCTACTAAAGAATGAATGGGTCAACTGGGAAATTAAAGAACTTAAAACATACATGGAAGCAAATGAAAATGAAAACACAACAGTTCAGAATCTTTGGGATGCAGCAAAGGCAGTCCTAAGAGGGCACTATATAGCAATACAGGCCTTTCTCAAGAGAGAAGAAAAGTCTCAAATACACAACCTAACCTTACAACTAAAGGAGCTGGAAAAGAACACCAAATAAAGCCTAAACCCAGCAGGAGAAGAGAAATAATAAAGATTAGAGCAGAAATCAATGATATAGAAATCAAAAAAACAGAACAGATCAACAAAACTAGGAGCTTGTGCTTTGAAAGAATTAATAAGATCAATAAACCCCTAGCCAGACTTATCAAAAAGAAAAAGAGAAAGGACCCAAATAAATAAAATCATGAATGAAAGAGGAGAGATCACAACCAACACTGAAGAAATAGAAACAATTATAAGAGAATATTATGAGCAGTCATATGCCAACAAATTAGACAATCTGGAAGAGATGGATGCTTTCCTAGAAACATATAAACTACCAAAACTGAAACAGGAAGAAATAGAAAACCTGAACAGACCCATAACCAGCAAGGAAATTGAACCAGTAATCAAAAATCTCCTAACAGGGGTGCCTGGGTGGCTCAGTCAGTTAAGTGTCTGCCTTCAGCTCAGGTCATGATCTCAGGGTCCTGAGATCGAGCCCCACATCAGGCTCCTTGCTCAGCGGGGAGTCTGTTTCTTCCTCTCTGCCTGTGCTCTCTCTCGCTCTCACTTTCTCTCAATAAATAAATTAAATCTTTAAAAAAAAATTTTTTTTAATCTCCCAACAAACAAGAGTCAAGGGCCAGATGGCTTCCCAGCAGAATTCTACCAAACATTTAAAGAAGAATTAATACCTATTCTTCTGAAGCTGTTTCAAAAAATAGAAATGGAAGGAAAACTTCCAAACTCATTCTATGAGGCCAACATTACCTTGATCCCAAAACCAGACAACGAACCCACCAAAAGGAGAGTTACAGACCAATATCCCTGATGAACATGGATGCAAAAATTCTTTCTCACCAAGATACTAGTTAATAGGATCCAACAGTATATTAAAAGGGTTATTTACCACAACCAAGTGGGATTTTTTCCTGGGCTGCAAGTGTCGTTCAACATCTGCAAATCAATCAATGTGATACAATACATTAATAAAAGAAAGGACAAGAACCATATGATCCTCTCAAGAGATGCAGAAAAAGCATTTGACAAAGTACAGCATACTTTCTTGATTAGAACTCTTCACATTGTAGGGATAGAGGGAACATATCTCAATATCATAAAAGCCATCTATGAAAAACCCATAGTGAATATCATTCTCAATGGGGAAAAACTGAGAGCTTTTCCCCTAAGGTCAGGAATATGACAGGGATG